AGAATATTTATTATGAAAAAATAAGTAAAATCAGAAATTGAATAATAGTCGAAGAGACTGTATTGTTGCAAAAGGTTAATAATAATGGCGGTGAAAAATTTCCGCGAATAACTGTACGCCAATTATACGATTCGGTATAAAATTAACTATCTGAATGAAGAATCTGTATAGAAATTCATTAATCCGCTATGGCATTTGATTTCTTTTCTGCGGGATCTGATACATTCGCTAATTATAGCGAACTGATGTAAGTATAGAATCGACACACCCACGTTTATGGATGAGAACAATTCCCAGAGATCTGTGTACAGAGATTTTTCTCTGCTTGAGAATTATTTTACGTAAACTTCCTTGTCGTAATATTTTCATGGAAATGTACGTTCATGAAATTGATAAGAGACTAATAGCATTCCATGCTATTTAAATATATAATATGTATAGTATAATATACGTATGATATAAAAGTTTTTATGGAAAACAGTATAAATGAAATATTTCCTTTGATTAAAATTTTATTCAATAATAAAATATAAATAAAAAATTGTATCGAGTTTCTCAGATGCCAAAATGATTAACTCCATTTTTTGAAATATATTTTATTTTAAAATATGAAATCATGATTATAGTTTTTGAAGAAAGAAACTATTGGCTTTTGACTAATTATAGTCAAATTATTTTCATTAAATTTTTAAATCGATATGTTTATTTTTAAAATTTTACAAGAGACACTAATTAGCACAAGTCATATTAGAAAATGATTTCTAACATTTCAAAAATCTCCTTATTCTGTCATTTTTTAATATGATAAATTAAGCCAATATTAAACTATCGAAGTAGTTAATTCACTCAATTAAAAGTTTGAGGAATAAAGAAATGTTTGAGTTCGAATATTATAACTCATTTTCAGAAAGTGTGATTACCTTCTCAATCCTTCATTCATTCTACACAAATAAACTACAAATTTATAACTACATTGCACTAAATAAATATTAAACATCTATTTGTATTCAATTTAATCTTTCCAAAGAATATCAAAGATTCTTATCAATCACTTTCGATCAAGAAATCCATCCCTTTCCAATTACAAAAATCATAGATCGCACATTCGATTTCGATTGTAAATACGGTAATTAGAGAAATCGATAATACATAGCTATTATACAGCACGAATTTTTTCTCTCTCACTTCCTTATCCAGGATAGGTTTGTAATCACGTACAAAAATCGATCGCCCATAAACCGATACCGTAATTATTAAAAGCACGAACTTTACGAGAGAGCCAAATAACAGAACGTGGTGTATTTAATCCCAATGGTCTGTGTTTAACGTTTGGCTGCGCAATTTGACGAAGAACGGGGCAAAGTGGCCGTGAAGGAAAACGATTTTGGGATCTAGCTCGCCCTATTATTCGAGCGATAATTTAAGGGAAACCGGGGGAGGAGGGGGGTGATGTATAGGTAGCGAGTTTATGCAACGCCATTGTCTCGGTGGGTACTGTTATTTATGGGAAGGTTTCATCTTCTAAAAACGGAAGGTGCGTGTACAGGAGAGAAAGCGTGACGCGAATAACGATCGGGTATGGAGGCTGAAGCCAGTAATTAAAGATTAGCGAGGTGATTAGCGAGGGAGCAGGTATTTAAATCTCCTTGAAATGATTTGTCGAGTGCCTGTCCCTTTTGCTCACTCCTTCTGGCTCGAACAACTGATTGGCTGTATGCACGATTCTGTGTACCAATTACAGATTGTCTAATTACGTTTCTCCAACGTTTCATCATCGTGGATATGATAAAATTTAACGTTTGATCATTCGAATAAAATGACTCGAGGAAAGTAGAGTTGTAATGAATGTCAATTACTTTGATGATTGATGGTCAAATGTGCACATTTGTAAAAAAAAAGGATATTATTGGATATTATTTGGAAAGCATAAAAGTCTTAAATGAACCTTGAACCTCGGAAAATAATTTTTTTTCTTTTTGTTAAAAGAAGTATATTGGGCTACCAATAGGAATTGATCATTCGAATAAAATGATTCGAGAAAAGTAATATAGAGTTATGAGGGTCAATTACTTTGATGATTGATGGTCAAATGTGCAAATTTGTAAAAAAAGATGCTACGAATAGGAATAGGATATTATTTGGAAAGCATGAAAGTCTTAAATGAACCTCGGAAAATAATTTTTTTTCTTTTTGTTAAAAAAAGCGTATTGGACTACTAATAGAATATTTTTAAAATATAAAATAAAATAGGAGTGAATATGTAAATTATACTTGAAAGAAGAATGTTTGGAGCTATGTTGTCAAAGAGAATACGATAAAATTTTGATTATCTATTTCTAAAACACGTTGTATATACAATAATTTATATGTGGATGTAATTGCTGGATAACTAGAATGAAATCAACGCACTGCTTTGTCAGAAATAACGAACGACGTATCAAGTGTTGAAGTGGTGAAGGATATAATGATAAGGAAATGGCCAGGTTGAATGATGTTTCGTTTCTATCCATAATTTTATCTCATTAAACCGCAACGTGGCTGTTTTCTAAACATTAGCAAGTCAATCATAAGCAATCCTAATGGTCGATGCATATTTAACAATATTTTCTTTTTTAACGGTACTTGAAATTTCTCTACATATCATTACATTTTAATTTATATATATTTTTTTTAATTTTCTTCAATTCGATTATTTCTAATAACACGTTCTTGACATTTTATGGTATTACAATTACACTTATCAATAAATTTATTATATAAAATTCTAATAAAAATGAAATTTAAAACGAAAATTCAAATATTTATGAGATAAAACAATAATCTCCCCCCTCATAGTATCTGAATATTAATGCGTTCCTGTTTAACAATATTTTTAAACCATTTATTTCTTCGATAATGGAGTTGTACAAAATATTTCAGAAAATAATTCCACGATAAATCCTGCAATATCTGTGTATCGAATGATCTCGAAGCACATAAGAATAAAGAAAGGAAAACGTACATCGTGCTAATATAATATATAATTAGATCAATTAGTAATTAATTATATTAAAGATACAACAGGCCGTGTGTTGTGTCATGAATAATTAACAAGTTTCGTGTTTCCGTGAAAAACGCTTAATTAATGATGAAGCTGCGTTAATCCAGTATAGCAAATGCCACTCACGTACATCGCATGCTGATCTCGCAAATCCATGAGAGCTAGACGTTTAACTTGCGACAGATTTTTTTTTCCTCTCTCTCTCTCCCTCTTTTAAGCCGAAATGTCGACGAAACGGACAAACTTTTCAACCCGTTGGTGATAACTGAGGCTACGTATATGGCACGTCGTCTTATCACCAGTGTACAAACATTGCCATAGACAGTGACATCGCATATCCGTTTCGTTTAATCGCGAATATATATATTTTTTTTGTATTATTATTATTATTATTATTATTATTATTATTATTATAAGAAAATTGTTACGTAATATTTGCATTTTTTTCGTAGATGTGAGTTATTCGAAATTGAAATAAGTGAAGTATTTTTATATAAGTATAAATTTCCTGTATCACGAAATTTGATTCATTTAATTATTTATCGATTTGTTTGAAGTAATAGTAATTTCAATGATACTTTGATTTTTTTTTTAAATAGCAATGATTTTATACAAAGAGATTACGATTAATTATATAGCATGCTTTTATTAAATCTTTGTGAATATCTTTTCCTATGTGAAGTAACATTTAATATAAGGATAACATTTCAAACAGTATAATTTTGCTTATTATAGATACATAATTTAAAATATAGAATACTAATGGAAGAGAGACAAATATTTCGAACTATTAATGGATATAATTTTATATATTATCTTTTAAAAGACGAATCATAAATTTCTTGCTGTCATATTTCCTTTATTTATACCTATTTTATTTGTATCTATTATTCGAAATAAAATTATTTCATTTACATTTATTTTACCGCACAGCATCGAATATCGCAATCACAACGAATAATAATGTTCCTCGTGAAAGTCATCATTTCAGATAAACGTTAATTTTAATTCGTACGGTTAAAAACTAAGTTCGAAACTTTCACGAAAATGAGGTTATCCGTGATTACAATTTGTAACACGACGAAGAGATTCGGATAAACGAACATTAGTAAAAAAAAAAAAAAAAAGTTAAAAAAGCGCATAGCGCGTTATATTTAGAAAAGAATAAACCGCATAGTTCCCCAGGGTGATATTTAAAAGTCGACGCCGGTGTCGAAAGTTTTCCCTGCCTTTTCACGCAATTCTTTTCTTGGGAACGTAATCCCACGGGTGACTAACACTGACGCTGACGTTGCTAAGCTTACGTAGAAAGTTTTGTAAGTACTTGTCTGTTTAAGTTATTACAGGATAAATGCTTGTCACCCAACTTACTAAATCTTGGGAAAGATATGTTTGCGATTTATGTTACATGATTTCTTTTTATCTATCCGGAATATTCGAATTGAATGTGATAATTGAATTAAAATTTTACGAAATTTTGAAAATTAATCTATTCTAAAGCATTAATTTCGTAATCAATTTTATCGGACTTTCACCTTTCATCCGAAAAATGAAAACAAAAATTTTAAATAAATCCGATTGTTTAAATGATAAAATATGTAACTCGTTTATAAATTTCGATAATTCAATATTCGCAAATACAAAAAGTTTCATTTTTTTTTTATTAGTAATGAAAATTATTTAAAAAATTTCTAAAATTAAATACAGATTTGTTGTTTTAAGGATAAATATTCTTAATATGAAATCAAACAAATATAGGATCATTGATACGAGAATTATTTACTTCAAACAATCGTTGAAATTACATAATTTTACAAAAAAGGAAATTTCAAGGAAATTCCAAGTTATTTCCATTATTTCTTTTTATAGTTCTCCTATCAAATCTTTTGGAAATATATCTAGCAATATATTAACAGAAATTCTAGCGTGAAAATTATATTTTCTCTGTTTTTATTTCCAGGTGTGCGAGGACTTAAGAATGTGTCCATCGATATTCCATTGGCCGTAGCAGATGGCACCACCGTCAATATGAGTTGCGGATACGATCTAGAATCAGATACTTTGTACACAGTGAAATGGTACTACAAACGTTTTGAATTTTTTCGATACATTCCTAAAGAAATGCCACCTACAAGTGCTTTTGGAGAATTGGGTAACAAAGTTCTCGTAAGTATTCGTTACAATTTTATATTCATACTTGCAAATTAAGTATTACATTAAGTAGTATACTTCATTCGAACTGTTAAAAACTGTAGTACCAATTAAATTCTTTTTTTCCGATTATTTTTCGATTGTTTTATCATGTTTTTATTATATTAATAATGATATATATCTCGTTATTTTTGATTAAGAATTTTTTGTTTATGAATAACTGGTTGCTTCGTTAATAAAATACACAAAATTAAAAAACTGCATCTCTTTTAAACGCGAATAACTAGTTGCTTCGTTAAAATAAGGCGGTTTCGAGATTTCACAACAGTAATCCACTGGACGCTACTCAGAGAATTGTCGTCGAGTTATTTCGAGTTAGGAACACCTTTAGAATTTCTTACTTATTAAAAGTTGGAAGGCGAGCTCTGTGCGAATCACGTTTTACATTCGCACCTGACGTGCAATCGTTGAGAACCGAGGAAACGGAAGTGAGTCTCTCGGATTATATTTCTCCAAATTCGCCAAACCATGAAAGTTTGTTAGTACCATTCATATTCTATTTTATTATATAATTGTATTTAACAAACTGTATACACGTGGTACTTGTACCACGTATTTTATTAACTTTAATTAAATGTATTCTCTATTTTTCATACCATGAATTATGCATATACGTATATGCATAATTTTCATTGTAATCTTTGTGTAATGAACAATTTAATTATTTTGTTAAAGATTTCGTACCGGATTGAAAAAAATGGGATATCTCATTATTATTACATGTTTGATATTTCTTTCATAAAATAATCGAGGGAATTATAAGAACAATAATTTTAAATTGGTCCATGATATTGATATATAATATCACAAAATTCTACGAAGTATATTTTTCTTTTTTTAATTCGATATAAACAAAAATTAAAAATATTAGAATACTCATCTGTTCTATTAGAAAAAAGCAACAAGAATTATTTTTGTTATAAATCCTTCAAAAGGAAACCTATCTCTGTCGTTGAAATAACTATGATATACTTGAAATCATTAGGTAAACTATTTAAAAAAATATAAATAATTAGAAACATTTAAAAAATAATCTCTAAATTGAATATAAATTGATCAATAATGGTCGAACGATTTCTTTATTTAACTCGGAATTTAAACAAGTTAAATCGACATTTTTAAGGGAAATCAGACGCATAGATTTCATTCTGATACGATCGATAGAACGTTAAATTTTCGTCAGTCGCATTCTAATTTGCTAAAAGCATTCGCAAACATTGGTGACCAAGCAAAATGTACCGTTGCTACGACCGGCTGATCTGGAAGAAATCCTGATTAGTTGCAACTCTTCGAAGCTTCCGGGTGTAAGCCGTGTTCTTTTAGACAGTTTAATTAATCTAACGAAATCTGGGAACAATTCTCTGGATTGATTCTACAATTCTAATATATTGAACCAATAAATAAGTTGCTTAATTAATTCTACTACCACTGCAATTAAATTAATCTTCTATTCTTTCGTTGTATTGATACAAGAATATATGGTTTTTCATTTATATACAATAAAAACTGACTTTGTACGTACGTTCAATTGATAACGTATCTTTACATTAATGACAAAAAGCAATTGTCTAAAACTCATTTCTTGTATACTATCATCAGATAAACATCTTATAAGAAAGTAAATAGTAGAAACAATACATTTCTATGTTTATCTCAGAAAATTTATATTGTGCTTAACGTTTGCAAGCATAATACATATTTACGTGTTAATTATTATTTTCAAATAAATATAGATAATAAGATAGAACATATAACTACAATAAAGTAATAGTGTCATTAAATAAATTAAAAATCCTATTCTTTAGCAACTTCTAAGAAATTTCAATATGAATAATTTATATGTTTCGTGTAAACAAGAAACGTCTGAAAACTGAATATTTATGATCATGCTATTATTAATACAATTTTTTAATAATTTTTATTATTATTTTTAAATAATATATTAATTATAAAATAATATTTTGAGTTTATCTTTTATTTTCGTCGTTCAATCATTTGTTCACGCAACTACCATTCGTCACAGATAAATTAAATTTAACATTGTGTTACACGATATAATAACACAATATAATAATATATTAAATATCCCATTGAATCAGGTATCATTAATCAAGAAATTATCGTGCAAGAATTCGCCTGATACCTGAAAACCGTAATACCTTATAAAACGCACACACGCTCGAAAGGAAACCAACTGTTTAAATTACCATCAACTTACGTACGTACGTCTTATTAAGTGAAAGCAAAGAGGAAACCTAAATGAAGGTATAACTGAGCTCTGTCGTTTATTCCCTTGCTCAAGTAACTAAAATCATTTTCTCGACCGGAAAATTATTCTCTCATTTCAAAGTCTCATTACATTGATATTTTTCCACCGCATACCTGTTCACGCGCATCACGTGAACCCATTATGCATACATTGTATCGCGAGGCCTAAGGGATATATGCAGCACCGCGCGAAACAAACAACGAACGAAGGGATGTAGCGTGGAGTTGGGTTGGATTCGTATTTCACAAACGGTAACATTATTAAAATTATCAGTGAGCCGGGATGAATTTATGCGTAGTGTGGCCGGGAGGAGAATTGTCGAATCGATGCACACGATGGTGTGAAATAGTACGTACAGCCATGCATCGATGCGTGACTGCACGTCGATCGCCGATCGAATCCCACTTATTTTCGAGCGAAACGTTTCATCCGCAATTCCGCTCAATCCGTTTTTCTACCACTCCGAAGTAATTCTTCGAACGCATGAACAATAGTTGGCGATGTTGTGTTTTCCACTTACGGTGTGAAATTACACGGTCGATTCGTGCGTACGACGATGAAAAATCTCGCAAGAGTAGTTAACCTCCGAGCGAAACTAGCCAACTCTTGCTTGCTTCCATGAAAATTACTATTTCTTTCCGTTCTTTCTTTCATTTGTAAAAAAAGAAAGAAAGAAAGAAATGAGATGTTAGATTACTTCTGGATTGCATTGCGGCCACAATGTTGTTGTATCGACTGAATTTAACTTCAGCTTTTAATTTCGAGTGTACGCTGTAAGAAGTATTTGAACGTATTGTAATAAATATTTATTATTTATTATAATTTTTATCTGTATCAATTAATTCGATCCAAGCGTATTAAATTTCGTGTTATTCCATACGATTGCAGAAACTTGATACTGTGAAAAATGAAATCTCATGAAAAAAGAATAAAGCAAGTACAAAAAAGTTTTTGTAGCTTTCGTAGTTTCTTTTATTCAAGCACGATTTCGAAATATCTTTTTTCGATGAAGATTAAGAATAAAAATTCCGGTGTTTTTCTTTTTTTTTAAATTGCTCGCTAAGCTGGATTTATATTGATCAACTTACAAATTCAAGTTTGTTTTATCTGACTAAAATTTAGCTTACACGGTTGATTTTGAGGCCGATCAATTTGCTTGTACACTTAGTGTAAACGCGGCTCTAACAAACAATGTTGCAACGTACATAATTTATAGATGGATTTAATATTAGCAATATTAGCATTTTGACTTTGAAGATTTTAACTCCTAAAAATACAATTAGATCATTGGAATAATTAAAAATAATATTTCTATTATTTTCATGCGATTTTAAAATATTTCTCAAAATTATACTTGGAAGATTTTTTACTTTTGTTGATGTAACTGATATTAAATTTTCATCGTAGACCGATTTTTTACCTATTTTTTACCTCTTCGATTACATCTACGTCATTATTTTTCGTTATACATTGTACATGTAATTTTCTTTAGTAAATTTTACCGTTATTAAATAATGGCAAAAAAATGCAATTTGAATTTTATATTTACTGTTATAATAATACTAAAATATTAAAATTAAATTTAGTATTATAATTGCATCTTTAATGCAATTTCAAGAAGGCCAGTATAATTATAGAATTATATACGATAAGTATATTAAACTAGAATTATGAAACTGAGAAAATAAAAGGATTCATAATAAAAATGGCCCTCGTTCAATTTTAATTCACCATCCAACCTCATGATCTAATTAGATATAGTGCCTCTCCAGCCATCTATGGCAATTGTGCACAAGTGTATGATGAGTATTCTTTAAAGAAAATTAATTCAAATTGATAAAAAATAAAACTACTAATTATCATTCAAGTAATAAATTAAACGGAAAATAAAAATAAATTAATGAAGTAAAAAAGCGAAAATTGAGAAGGGGAAATTTTTGTTATGAATTTTTTAATCAACAATATGATATTAATTAACAGACAAAATATAAAACCGGATATTAATAAGCAACAAAATCAAATTTTTTAATTATAGTGTAGAAATTATTATTATAAAAATTCGCATTTCGTTTCATTCGAAAATCAACTTTTCAAAATCAGTTTGAAAAGTTGACCTAATTACAAATCACAATAAACCACAAAAAAAAACCTACGATATAAAAATTTTTATCCAAAATCGATATTCCGTATTTCCTTATCTCCCTTCAATGATCCATTGAAAAAACTAGCCATCAACCACGATCGATATAAAAAAAAATCGAATATCAATATTATCGAATTATTATCGAATTCCACCTCGATATCCCTCCTCCGTTTTCATAAACATCTCCTTAAGCAAAGATGATCGTTCGATGAGCAATACGCTCGATTGGCAAGTTGGATCACGAGAATGTTCACACCGCGAGCGCAACACCACCACTCGATGAAAATTGATTGTGTGATTTATACGCTGCCACTGGCAACATGTAATTAATCGTTGTTGTGAGGTATTGTTTGTCATGAACGGGCGAATGTGCGAGGATGTCAAAGGGAACGAGTAAGTGCGATCGATTTGCAATAAATGGTACGCACCCTCCATCCCCCTCCCCATCCTTCCTATGATCATCGACGCTTGAATTGACCCGGTCGGGCCGCCTGGTATCGACGAGTCGCACGCACCACTCTCGCCAACCGATCGCTTCATATCGCTTCATATTTTTCAATTTTAATTTAATTACACGGTATCAATTCACGGTGACGCGCAGGTGAAAATATTCGTGTTATACGTGTTTTATCATCGTGGCCATCGTCCCGTCGAATTTTATTTAAATTGCGCCAATAAGTTATGCCCGGCGTGAAACAATTATCTCGCGTTGTAGGTAGATGGACACGATGTTTCGGGATTTATATTTAATTGAAACAGATTCAATAAATTGGAAATCTTTTAAATTTGTTATTGCACGGCGGTGAGAACATGTTTGCGAGAACATTTTATCGGACGTGCATCCGATATTGACATTTGTAACGAATGTAAAAATAACCCGTCTCTCTGAGAGAGAGAGAGAGAGAGAGAGAGATTGATACGTTATAGAATTTTGTGAAATACATTTTTTTTTTTGAGAGGAATTTTTTATTTCGTTGTGATTCGTTTATAACGTTGTGACCGTTTCCTCTTTATTATCCATTATTATTCGATTCTCTCTAGTTCTTCTGCTAGTCAATTAATTTTCGTTAATGTTATTTTTAATTACGTTACAGTTAAATCAAAGTGATGCTCATCGCGTAGTTTTAAGGGACTTGCAACCAAGCCATACTGGAAAATATCGCTGTGAAGTTTCTGGCGATTCTCCATCGTTTACTACTATAACGGTTGCCGCTTATTTATATGTTGCTAGTAAGTATCATATAATATAATATAATATTTCAATATAATATTTCATTTATGTTGGAAATAATAAAAATTAAACGATTGGATTTTCTAATAATTTTATAATTAAGTAATCAATTATTTAAGATTTATTATCCTGTTAAATACTATTATTATTATTATTATTATTATTATTATCCTGTTAAATCATCAAACGTTAATAAACAACTAAATCGAATTTTATAATAATTTTATAGTAATAATTACGTGACCGTTTATCTAAAATTTATTTATCTCGTTAAATGCTATTTAAGTTAAAAAAAAAAACTAATTATTTTATATTACATACTTATAATAAAGATTTAATATAAATTTTTGCTTTTTCTTCAAGTAAGTATGAAAAATACAATAATGAGTTATTTCTTCATTCTTTCATTGCAAACTCGCAATTATGAAGTCATTTAGCAAATAAAAATATATTCACACTAAGGCTGTGAAAAGGCATTAACACAACCTTAGCCGATATCCATGGTATCTGCTTACGCGTGATATAAATAATACAGCCAAAGGGGATAATTTGTTCGTAAGGAACATTAAGAAATAGTAAAACAGTGCAACATTAGTGCTCGTTTAATATTCCTAAAAAATATGTAAAATGAAGTTCTCCTTGGAATACGAATTATATACATAAATCATCGCTTCTTAAGGGTTAGGCCATTAAGCGTTTCCTGGCTCATTTAATATTTTTCCTTTTCATTTATCCTTACCTAATCCATATCAACATTAATTTGATAAATCTAATACTTTCTTTTTTTTTTTTTTTACCTACGAGATAAGATAAATAGTACGATAATGCAATAAAATTATCAAATATCCATTTGTTTCTTTTACGTTTGTTTTACCGATCTCCAGTTTTTTCCCGTAAAAACGAAAACCGTTCCGCGTGAAATTAAATCAACTTTAAACGCGAAACAAAAAAAAAAAAACGTCCAAGTAATAAAATCGAGAAGGACGAATCGGTCTCATTAAATCACCGAATACGCTTCTTTTCATTTCATCATTCATCTTTCACGGCTCTCTTAACCGAGTTACTGTTAATTAACAGCTCCATTCTAATAAACATAACTCTTCACTCGTTTCTTTTCAGTATCATTTCACCTACTTTCCTCACGCGAATTGATCTTTTAATACGCACTATTAATTCTCAATGAAAAAACATTGAACGCACGGAGCACATTCAAATATACCCTGGCGAGGCTAAGTCCAGAGAACCGGATCGTGACCCATTATTTTTCTCTCCCTTTCTTTTTCCTTTCATCGAATCGACGCCGGTGTCATCTTCGACTATTGCCAGTTATTTCTCCATTGATCATTCCACGCGATGAGCCATTCCACTGCGGTTAATTGAAACGTGCGCAATTCGTGAGGAGGGAGTGACGAAACGAGAGATAGAGAAGGGGGAGGAGAAGAATAAAAAGGAAAAAGAAGATAAACGAGGAAAAAGGATAGAATATCGTGCCTCGTTTCCCACCGTCTCGCATCCTCGTTGAACGTCGACTTAACGACGCCACAACCACGGTAGCGATTCTTCTTTGAAGAGGCGAGGTGATTGCCTCTCCTTTCCGATCACGGATCGCTCGTAAAAGCTCGATACTGGATCGAGTCTTCGAATCTCGCCTTGTATCCCTCAAACGTTCTCTCTCTCTCTCTCTCTCTTCCACTTTTCTTCCTTTTCTCCATTCTCACGAGATGGGATGATCGTCTCGCATCCACAACATTACCAAACAAGTTCAAAATGGTAATCTTCGGCCGATCGTGTCCTTGAGAGAGGAGACCAGGGACTTGGCGATATACTAGGCGGAAGTCATTCAAGCCGAAGTGAGACAATTCTTTGACAGTTCGCTACCGGTACCAGGAAATTGACTGCCTTCTGTGGACGGCATAATGATCCCTCGAGATGTACAATGACGTGTTACGTATTCGGAATACCTCGATGTAGCGCGGCTTCGGCGAAAAAGTATCCTCAACAATAGACTTCCTATCCGTTCTTGAAATGTACGAGGATGATGGAAAAAAAGGGAAAATGTAAATCGGATTGAACGGCGTATCGAAAGATATTCCAACAACGTATACGTGCTGTTAATAATAAATCGGTGCAATGCTATAAACATGAGTTTGGAATTATTAGATTGTTGAAACTAAGCACTTCACGATAAAATAACTAAATGTACCGTTGATGTGATATTCGTTGCATTTATTTGAAACTTGATATTAAGTAAATCGTTATTTTAAAAAGCAACGAGCAAATTCTCTAACGAATATATTTTTTTGTCATTGTTAGTTTATCGAAGTTTGATATTTTGATCGTGGTAAAATAGTAAAATTACAATTATCATGGGAGCATATAATATTTTTCTGTTATTAAAAAATTCAATGAATTTCAGATCTACCAAAAGGGGATCCTCAAATTAGAGCCGAAAAGATACGCTACGCGGTAGGAGATACGGTGCGTGCAAATTGCACCGTTCCTTCGGGAAATCCTCCGGCGAATGTGACATGGACTGTGAATGGAGTACAGGTGGGTTGATTATGGAATGTAAGAGTTGATAAACTGCCATTGTTACTTGAAACAATAAATTACTTTTGGCATGCATTTATGCTATATTTTATTATCTTACAGGAATTTTATTAGTCTAATTAAATGGATAAAATAATATTAAATAAAACTATTATATTAAAACAATTATTAGATAAAGAATTAAGAATCGAAATTATTATGTATGAGATAAAATTTTAATATGAATGATACCTATTTTTAACCTAAAGTTATTACTTACTATAAAAATTAATAAATTTAAATTAAATAATTATTCGTAAAAAAAAGAGATTAAAATAATAAAATCTAGAATTCTTGAAAATCTTTTGAAATATTTTTTATATTTTTCACAAATAATTTACCGTGGTTAAAATTTTTCAATTTTAAGATGTTTTTGCAATATTATAAACACAAATGAACGTGTAAGAAGAATGATAAATAATTACTAGGTAACTGAATTTTATATGCATCTTAAATATTCTTCCCGTGTACAGATATCAACTCATATAGGTATCAATGTAAATTACATATGTCTTTAATTTGAAATACCGGCCTCCAATCATGTAATTCCGGTCTGACATTTAGTGTTCTCATAAATTTACGATACGTCAATAATAATTGAAAAATGAGAGATAAACTTCAAATTTTAATTTAAAATTTTCGCATATAAATCTGTAATTATTAAATAAAAGTTGTCAAGATGAAAAATGCGAAAAAATTCTTAGTTAGTAGTTTCATAAATAACAAAAGAACTATAATAATAAAATGTGAACAAATTATTGTTAATTGTTTGTAATTATATTCAAACAAATGTTCGAAATGTATATACCATTAATGACATAATTTGCTCATCAAAAATTGATGTCATTCATAAATTTAGACCTATACTTTTCATAAACTTTTTTAATCTAAATAGAATAAATATAAAATTTATTCTAAACTTCATTACGATTGAATAATAAAGAGAAATGAAAAAGATTATTATTGTTTCTACCAAATAATATAATATTGTTATTCTACATAAAAATTACATAAAATCTAATTCTGCAAATCTCGAATAACTCTATCAAGAAGATAACTAAATGGAATATAAAAACTTAAAAATTTCACTATTCTCTAATAACGTAAAGCATTTATATTATCTTTTAACGACATTTTCTATAATAAATATTCATTCTATCTATACACACAAATAATAAAATAATTAAAAAATGCATAAAAATCAAAATCATCAAGTTTCACGTATAATTTTCTATCTTCTATTACATGATCGAAGTCGATTAAATACTGATAAGCATTAACATATTATAATAAATTATAATATAATAATTATTATATAATTATATTATATAAAATAATATAATAATTATAATAAAAAAAAAAAGAAAATATCGAAAAAAATGTATAATTCATATCGATTCTCGAATACGATAATACCGTTATAAGTGTCGAAAGTCACTGAAGAAATTATCTTTACTTCAATCATTTTCTAACTTTTATTCGATACAAAGTAACAATCTGAAATGATTTACGGATTTCCTAACAATCTGGTAAATATTAAACTTGTAAGAGAATACCACAAATTATTCATAGTCTCTTTAAAAAAAAATTATAATAGTGTCTATGGTATAATCGAAAAGCAGGAAGTACAGTTACATACTTATGTATAGTATTAAATCCTGCTTATTTTTCTTTTCTTTCGCGTTCCAGCAATAATATATGCATGTTTTAATAATGTTTTCCTGATTTAAAACATTTCCTGCATAATATTTATATATCTTTAAAATTCTACAAATTTTATTTTATTGCCAAAAAAATTACGATAATAAGAAAAACATTTGATGTATACATAATAATATTTAACCTAAGCCTAATTATTTTAAACCTCAGAAAAAAACATATTAAGTCTTTTTTTAAATGTAGATATATAATTATTATTATTATTTGATATAATTATTCTACATTTGATATGTTTAATATTATTATTTTAATGTAAAATGCATCTAAAAATTGTTAAATTTTTATAAATTAAATTATTTCTATTAAAATTAAATATAATTACGAGATAGAATTAATATTGCATTACGTATTATGTATTGAATTACTTAAATCTATATATAATTATTTTACGAATAATTACATATACATTTAAAACGTATTAATAATGCTCAATTAATTTGTATTTAATTTTATCATTAATATGAAGTGAAATACGATGAAAAGGTACATATTTCCTTTTTATTATTTGTATTTCATATTTTATAAATAAAATTGTATATTTCAGGTAAATTCCAGCTTCATGATGAACATTACGGACAAGTTTGGTGACAATCAGCAATTGATGACTATCGCAGGATTGGACTTCGAGACTATACAAGATAGCTTTAACAACGGAAGATTACATATTGTTTGCAATGCTAACGTCTTTCATTTGTATAAAAAACAAGCCGATGTTATTTTGATCGAGGAACGGCCACGTCTGGCATCTGTATTAGGAACCCGAGAATCTTCTTATATTGGTATATCTTTTAAATCTCTTTACAACTGACCATTTGTAATATGCACAATACTTTCTTTTGATAACCGGATAGAGATATTGTACCGTTCAGATATTCGAGATATCTGACACAAAAATGTATCTTTCTATTTCTGCTAATAACGACCATTGTAAATTGTAACAACTAGTGAAAGACGAGGAGGAGGGATTAATATGTTCAATGCGAATAAAATCAAAAGAAATCCCCGATGGCGGATATTGATTTTTCAGAAATAAAGAAACAGTTGTAAAGCGAAAAATACAACGAAATTCAAAACAGCTGTGCATATTGATGATAACACTTGTATTGAACGCGTATGCAAAAGGAAAGCAGGATATGCAGAAAATCTTTTACATCTTTTATATTTGGGAAAACATAACGCAACGTTATAGATCAGAAAATTCTTATAAAATATACGTTCACGTTACCTACATTTAATGTGTTAATTAATAGAATTATTTCTATGATAAAATCAATGACTATAATTGCTATAACAAATTTTATAATTTATGATATAAAAATATCTTTGACTGCAATTCCGAATAACACCGATTAAAATGAAACTTTATAAATTTGAAGATAGACGAAAGATAGACAGAAAGTATGAAATTTCAACTTCGGCAATGCATTCCGGAAGATATATAAAGAGATGGATAAATCTAAAATACGAATTTAAGAATTTAATATGAAAAAAAAATTTCTCTATGTAAATGTTAAACTATAATATCTTTTATTCTATTCTTTGTTTTATAATTTTTCGTTTCTTCTCGATAAAGTATATAAACTAACTAAACTAACTCCGTAACTAATTTTATATTGTTAATAAATATTAATCATCAGTAAAGTGCGGGTATTTATGCATTTATGCAAAATTTGAAACTACAAAAATATACACTATAGTACAGCACAAATGCATAGTATAATAAAAAACACAAAATATCTAACTATTATTAAATTGTACTATTTAATTAATACTTATGATATTTGAAGTATGAAATATCCATTTAAGCCTTTTTAAATAAAAATTTAATTTTGCATGAAATAGATGATAATTAAATACAAAAGGATTTTTTGCTATCGATAATGAATATCGGTAACCAAAATAAAATTCTCCAATCGGTAATAGTTATCGGTAGTCGAAAAAAATTTCCATTATTGATATTGGGTAACCAAAAAATTTCCATCATCGGTAATAATTATCGATAAACAACAATTTAGTTATTTATTATAAAATTATCATTATAATAAGTACATTTTATTTTTTTTTTAAAGATTTAATAATGATTGCTTTTGCTCTTTAAATAGAAATTAACTTTTATTCAATGATTTGTAAAAAAAATTAAAAATCTAGTACAGTTATAAGAAATGGATAGGTAAAAAATACTATTTATACTGCATTGAAAAAATTAATTATATTTAAAATATCATGTTAAAATATCACGATAACTAACTAAACTACTAAACGATATTATTAAACAAATACATTCGATTTCTCTCCTATTCTATCTAAATAATTCATTTATCTTCAATTAATCATGAAATTAATAGAAGAAAATGTACAGTATTAAATATTATAGACTATTTTTAATACAAGGAAAATAATGATAGAATTCAAAAAACGTAAGCAACAGTAAAAATAAAAATATTTATAGTTAGATTTTATTTTAAATAATAGGAAAAAATTCTAAAAAAGAAATTGAGTAATATCGAAAATTTTCTTATGTCTTTTTTTTTTTTTTTTTTTTGGTATTTTGTACAGTTATTTTTCCTTTAAAAAATTCCTCATGAAAAAATATCAAAATATGATTTTAAAAAATTAAAAGATCAAGAATGTAATTTATTTCAAATTTTTGATAAATCACATATTTTGTTAATAAATAAAATATAATCATATAATTCTATTTCTCTGAAAATGCTACTAAATAAATATATATAAATATAAATAAATATAAACAAGTAAATACAAATAAAATACAAAATAAAAATATAAACGTTATAAAATATCATCCCATTGAAGTACTATTAATTATAAAAAAAAAATTTATTCGCGTCAGTAATTATGATATTGAATATACTATATCAAAATTAAATCTTTATAATTATTATGTATCGTTATATGAATCGTCATGTATCGTTATGTATCGTCATATATGAATTTATATATATTATTTTTCTAATTTCAGGGCATGCATCAACGCAGTTCACGCAAACTTCATTTGCAAAATGGTTTATTGCCTCAACTGCTCTGTTACTACGCCACTTCAGATAACAACGATGAACCTGTTATTCACCCAATATGCATATGACTGTATTGAAATGGAGAGGGCAAATTGTTTGTAAAATTTTAAAACTTAAGTGAGACGAGGAAAGAATGACAAATTTTTTGGTTAATATAAATATCGACCGTATGTTATTCGTGTAAATAGGATAAAAAAATTAGCTAATTATCTACGTGAAATTGCGACCTGCGCTGTCTCATTGCAACGAGACAAATTTATAATCTAAATAACATGTCATAATATTATGTATTAGATTGACAAAATGTCGCGCCAAAGTGTTCGAAAATTTATTTCAATACTATTATACCATGTTTTCTATCCTCCAACAATGATTTTGATACATTTAAAGAATCTTCCGTAAAATATAGCTGCCAGAATATATCATCTCACGTTATAGGTAAAAGCTGTTATTGTTTGTGAATAAAGTTTTACTTAAGTGAAAAACAAATAAATAATTCACCTCCGTTGTTTTTGTTTTTCTCTTCCTCAAAATTATTTCTATTCCATTTTTTCCTTACTACATTCCTAATTATATTGTTATTAAGCAATATTAGTTTGTACTTTAAATATAGAATTATATATTATTGGTAAAAATGTGTATATTCATAAAATTTGTTATATTTAATAAATAATATATGTATATATAAAAAAATGGATAATATCATAAAATAAAATTTAAAGAATCTTATTATTATTAAATTTAATCTTCCTTTAAAATTCTCAAAATAATTATTATCCTAACAAAAAATGTACAGAACAATGTAATTTAATGACAATACCAATACAAATTTGTACAAATAAAGAGCAAATTACATAAGAGCATTTAATTTAGAAACATTAGTGTTTTTATTCTTAATCTTCTTTCGGCACTTGATTTTGAAGTTTCATTTCTATCACATCCACAGTGGCATCTCTGACTTTACTTTTTTCAAGGCCTAGTTGTTGAATTTTTTCCATTTGTTCTGTAACATAAGCTACTCTTCTATCAAAGTAATCCTTTGCATCTATAACTTTTTTTTGAGCATAATAACCAGTTCCAATATCAATTAGAACATTGTCAGTTTCTACTAGTTTTCCAACTACATACATCGAGCCAGTTAATGGCACAAGAATTTCGTTTCCTTAAAAGAAATTCAATAATATTATTAATATAATATAGGTTAAAGATCACATTTTCTAACCTCTAAAAAAGTATTAAAAATTAAACGAATTTTTACATTAGAACTTATATAATACAAAATTAATTAAACTTACCTTCCAAGGATGGACTAATTTTTTCAAGACATGAACCTGATTCTTGAAATTTACTTTGAGCAATTTTTAATGTTTGCAATGAATCTTGGAAAACACCGAGTTCTTGATCTAATTGCTGTTTTAACATTGTAAGTTGTTGAAGATTTAAAGTTGTTAAATCTATTTTTTGTAAATGTGGCGTTTCTGTCATCGAAACTTCTGACATTTTAAATTATTTACTATAAAAATTAATGGAAATCAACGACCTTCCGTACTCTCTAAGCGTATATCCAAAAACGGTCAACACCGGAGATAAACTCATATGTTTAATCATTAGTTTTAAACGTTACTAGATGGCGCAATTGTATTTATACTACAGTGACATCTTAACTTTACAAAACTAAATACGAAGAGAAACGACATTCTAAGAGACTATGTATCTTCTGTAGTAAATCATGCGTATATATAGATTAAACATGAATTCTACGTTTCATGTTCTGAAATATCGACGAAAAACCAACGTTAGTTACGCCATCTATGATTTACTAGGGTCAACAAAGAAACTATATTCATATTACCATCAAAAAGGCAAAAAAATAAAAATGTGCATATATATTATGAAAAAATCGTCATTAATCATAGAATTCAATCATAAGCTGCGACGATATAATTATAAATATAAAAAAAAATAGAAAAAATTTTAATATATGCTTCAATATTCTGATTGAAATGCTAGAAATTTTTATATACAATTCAACTACGAAAAAAACAATAAACATTCCTCATAATTATTTCTTAATATAAGCTACGCAAAATAATCAATCACTGATCGTTTGCAAAACAAATAAAAAAAGAAATTCTTATGCGATAAACTAAACTCGAAAAAATTAAATTATATCATAATCTAATTGTATATAAATCTATAAAACAGATATAAAACTACTCTATACAACATTACATAAAACATAACATACGTGTATCAGAATTTTATATATTCATTGTAATGAAAATATAAAAAATTGATATTTGAAATTTAAAAGCAAAATAAAAATGCAAAATGCATTAAAACATTTTATTAATCATCACAATTTTCAATTTCAACACTATTCACAATAATCACAGCTATTATATTATAGCGTATATGTTATATAATAATATATACGATATAATATTAATAATAATAATAATAACAATATATAATAATATATAACAACAATAATAATAATAATAATATAATATATAATATTACTATTATTATTATTATGCATGCAATCACATAATTTACTCAAAGTAGACGTTCGACAAGCCATTTATTTATACTTTAAAACTTTTAACATTTTTAAGCTACAAAATTTCATGATTTTTAAACTTCAATGAAC